AGCCTTTTCACCATACACACCAACTTTACCCTTCTTCATCCTTGTGACAAGAAACAATATGAGTATCTCCTAACTTAATTTTTAAAAGCATAAATGCTGATGAAAGAGACGATTTTGAAGCAGCAGTAATTTATGATAGAAAATACTTCAGAGATAGTAATAAAAGAAGTGGACATTGGATTTGATCACCTTTGCTAAAGCAGTTTCAATAGAAGGGTGAACTTGTATGCCTAACTTTAGAACATTAGAAGGGAATGGGTATACCAAAATCAGACTAATATCACAAGAAAAAATACCTATAGACTAATATATTTTATGGATATACACATAAAAGTCCTAAACAAATGCTAGGAAAACAAATCCAGCAACATGAAGAAAAGGATTATACAACATGATCATGTTGGATTTATCCCAGTAATGCAACATACATAAATAAATAAATGTGATGCACCGCATTAATAGCAGTAATAAAAAAACCCACATGATCTTCTCAATAGATACAGAAAAAGTATTTGATGAAATCTAAATCTATTTAATGAAATCTAATCATAAAAATACCCAACAAATTAAAAATAGAAAGGGGTGTCTTCAACCTGGTAAAGAGTATCTATGAAGAACCCAGAGCTGACATCGCATTTAATAGTGAAAGACTGAAACCTTTCTCCCTAAAATCAGGAACAAGACAAAGATGCTTTCTCTCCCCACTTCTATTCAACATTGTATTAGACATTCCAGCCAAAGCATTTTTTGAAAAAGAAATAGGCCAGGACTGGTGGCTCATGCATGTAATCCTACCAGTTTGGGAGGCTGAGGCAGGAAAATTGCTTAAGTATAAGATTTCTAGACCAGTATCAGCAAGAGTGAGATCTTGTCTCCACGAAAAATCGAAAAATTAACTGAGCATGGTGGTGCATGCCTGTAGTTCCAGGTATTTGAGAGGCTGAGGCAGGAGGATCACTTGAGTCCAGGAGTTTGAGGTTGCAGTGAGCTATGATGACACCACTGCACTCTAGCATGGGTGACAGAGCAAGACTCTGTCTTGCAAAAAAGAAAAGAGAAGAAGAAATAAAAGTCATCCAAATTGGAAAGAAAGAAGTAAAACCATCTCTATTCACAAATGACATGACATTATATATAAAGAAACCTACAAAATATCCCAAAAAAACCACATTATAAATAATAAACAAGTTTAGCAAGATTTCAGGATTCAAGATAAATATACAAAAATAAATTAGTCCTTTCCACTAACAATGAACACTCTGAAAATCAAATCAAGGAAACAATTCCATTCAATAGTATCAAAAAGAATGATATACTTAGGTATAAATTTAACCAAGGAGGTGCAAAACTTAATACTCTGGAAACTACAAAAATATCATTGACATACACATATAGGAATAACATTTATCTGGCATCGGGCAGATGGGAAGGGGGATGAGGAGATGGGCATATACATACATAATGAGTGTGGTGCGCACCATCTGGGGAATGGACACGCTTGGAGCTCTGACTCTGGGGGAGAAGGTGGAGTAAAGCAACATATGTAACCTAAACATTTGTACCCCCATAATATGCTGAAATGAAAAAAAGGGAAAAAATTCATAAACAAATAAATGAATAAATTAATTATAGATGTATGCAAACATAAGGATAACCCATGTTACATAAAAGTTTAGAGTGCCCAATAAAACTGATGCACCCAGGAGATACTTTCATACTAGCCCACGGGAAACCTTCAGAAATTCATCAAAATTACTATTTACGTACATCTATCAGTCTATGTCTTCATTGGCTTCTGTCAAGTTTAAAAAGTAGTAATTTTGGAGTAGCCCAGATGGATGACTAAAGACATAGCTTGTTGCATTGCCCTGGCTGAAGGGTAGAAGGCTGCACTGACGAGAGTGGAGAATAATTGCAGCTTAGGTGTGGATCACAAGGAGAGATAGCAGAGGCATCTGGGGACTTCTCTGAGAAGGGTTGTGAAGATGAGAAAGAGAAAGAGAGAGAAGAGAGGACAGCAGCACAGATCAAACCCAGAGAGGCCTGGAGCCCAGTGAAATGGTAAAGGGGGCACCCCTTTGAAATGGTAAAGGGGGCCCCACATGAGTGACTCCAGCAAGCAGTGAGACACAAAGCCCTCACTACACAGGGGAGTGCCACGAGAGAACAGAGCACCAGCAATCTTACACCTAGATGCCTCCTCCTCTGCACCTCCTCCATTCCTGTCATCATGGAAAGTAGTTTTGGATCAAGCCAGCTTGTAGCCACGGCCTCTCACCCCCATAGCAACTGTGAGAGTTACCTGTGCTGAGAAGCTTGTTTCTCTGTGGTAGGGGCATATTCCCAGCCAAGCCTGCCTCTGAAAGCAGAGATGTGGCAATGGTGTTTCATGGGATCACCAACTGGCAGCTTGGACAGGTGGGAAGGACCCAGTTCATCTAGGACATGAGAGCAGGCTCCTCCTCTCCCATAACAACCATGAAAGTGCTCTGTGCTAAGAAGCCTGTTTCTCTGCAGTGAGGGCACATTCCCAGCTGAGCCTGCCACTGAGGGCAGAGCCACCACAGCATCATTTTGTGGGATTTCCCACTGATGGTATGGACAGGAGGGCAAGTTCCAGTGCCCCCTGGACATGAAAGCCATGTGGGAGACCGTGACCCCTTCCCCCATAGCAACCCTGAGAGTGCTTAGTGCTGAAAAGCCTGTTTCTCTGTAGTGCAGAGGAATTCCCAGCCAAATCTGTCACTGAGAACAGACCCACCACAGTGTAACCCAAGAGGTTCATTAAACCTGCTAAAGCACTCCAAAATCAACTCAGGACAAAAACTCCTCTCCTTGACACAGACAAGAGCCAATCTTCTGAGACTCAGAGACAGGTCCATAAGCTAGCCCTAGAATCCTCAGCTATCTATTGGGAGGCCAGATGAGAAGGAACCAAAGAAAGAACGCCAGAAATATGAAAACCCAAAGTCAAAGGACCCCCTGCCCCCAAACCCATAACTCCTTACCAATAGATAATAACCTAAACAAAAAGATTAAAATGACAGATGAAGAATTTTGAACTTGAATTTAAAGGAAGCTCCATGAAATACAAGAGAAAATAGAAACCCAACTCAAAGACTTCACAAAAATAATTCAGACAATAAAGGAACAATTCTCTAAAGAAATCGAATTATTGAAGAAAAACTAAACAGAACTTCTGGAAACGAAAAATTCATTCAAGGATTTACAAAACACAGTGGAAAGACTTAACAATAGGTGAGATCAGGCAGAAGAAAGAATCTCAGAGCTTGAAAATAACACCTTTGACCTAAACAAGGCAGTCAAAGAGAAAGAATAGAGAAGTAAGAGAAGCAAACAAAACCTACAAGAAATGTGAGATTATGAAAAGAAGACAAATATAAGAACTGTAGGCATTCCAGAGGGTAAAGAATAAAATATACAAGGGTTAGAAAATCTATTTGAAGAAATAATCAAGGAATATTTCCCTGGCCTTGCTAGAAATCCAGATATCCACATACAAGAAGCTGAAAGGACTCCTGGTAGATTCATGGCAAAAAGGCAATCGCCACAACACATAGTCATTAGACTTGCCAAAGTAAACATTAAAGAAGCACTCCTATGACCAGTAAGGTGAAAAAATCAGGCAGCATACAAAGAAAAACCTATCAGATTATCTGCAGACTTCTCAACCGAGACCTGACAAGCCAGAAGGGATTGGGGCCCTATTCTCAGTCTCCTCAAACAGAATAATGGCCAGCCTAGAATTTTGTATCCTGAAAAGTTAATTTTCTTATATGAGGGAGGAATAAAGACCTTCTCAGACAACCAAATACTAAGAGAATTTTTCAAGTCCTGACCTGCCCTACGTAAAATACTCAGAACTGCTTTATACACGAATCAACATTATAGACACCCATCAGTGTAAAATCACCCAAAAGATAAAGTTCAGAGCCCATATATCACAATGGCTGAAGGGCAAACCATAGCAATACATTTCTACTCAACAGGAACAACAGAAATCCACCCCACTATGAATTCCTTCAATAAATGTGAATGTCTTGAACTCCCCACTCAAGAGACATGGATACAAAAATACAAGCCAAATATCTGTTGTCTCCAGGAAATACATCTAGCTCACAAGGAGTCATTCAGAGTCAAGCTAAAGGGATGGAAAAATATATTCCATGCAAACAGAAGCCAAAAGAAAGCTGGTGTAGCAGTTCTCATACATCTGAGATACTATGTATCTCAGATACATAGACTTCAAATCAATAAAAGAAAGACAAAGATGGTCATTAATGTAATGGTAAAGGGAACCTGTCAACAAGAAGGCATAACAATCCTAAATATTTACTCACCTGACACAGGAGCAAGCACATTTATAAAGAAAATCCTACTTGATCTAAACAAAATGATAAATGGTAGCACTGTAATAGCTGGAGACTTCAATACCCCAATAACAGAATGAGGCAGGTCCTCCAAACAGGAAATAAACAAAACAATATCTTTAGTGAAACCAAAGACAATAGACCACATAATATATGATTACTTGTGTATGAAATGTCCAGAATAGGCAAATTTAAAAGACAGAGAAAGTTAATTAATGGTTGCCAGAGATGGAGGAAAAAAAGATTGGGTAGTGGCTGTTAATGGGTGTAGGGATCATTTTTGGGGTGATGAAAATATTCTGGGATTGGCAAGTGATCTTGGTTGTGAATATACTAACAACCATTGAAATATCCTCTTTAAAATGGTGAATTTTATAGTATGTAAATTGCATCTAAATTTTGAAAAGAAATTATGAGGAAATGGGGAAAGTGAACATGTACTATAAGTACTATAATGTACTGATTATTCTGGGACTGACATAGCAGAGAACTAGAGCAATTTCTAGATAGGAGTTCCTGATCAACTAAAATCAATTCAAAATAAGCAAGCTAAGACATGTTTGAAGGTATAAGAAATCAATGGAGGGAGCGCCACCGTCGGGTGGCGGGGGCCTGTCCGCGGCCGTGGGGGCGTCTGCGCGGCTCCTGCGCGCAATCATCATGGGCGCCCCGGGCTCGGGCAAGGGCACCGTGTAGTCGCGCATCACCCAGCACTTCGAGCTGAAGCACCTCTCCAGCGGGGACCTGCTCCGAGACAACATGCTGCGGGGCACAGAAATTGGTGTGTTAGCCAAGGCTTTCATTGACCAAGGGAAACTCATCCCAGACGATGTCATGACTCGGCTGGCCCTTCATGAGCTGAAAAATCTCACCCAACATAGCTGGCTGTTGGATGGTTTTCCAAGGACACTTCCACAGGTGGAAGCCCTAGATAAAGTTCATCAGATAGACACAGTGATTAACCTGAATGTGCCCTTTGAGGTCATTAAACAACGTCTCACTGCTTGCTGGATTCATCCAGCCAGTGGCCGCGTCTACAACATTGAATTCAACCCTCCCAAAACCATGGGCATTGACGATGTGACTGGGGAGCCTCTCGTTCAGCCTGAGGATGACCGACCAGAGACAGTTATCAAGAGACTGAAGGCTTATGAAGCCCAAACGAAGCCAGTCCTGGAATATTACCAGAAAAAAAGGGGTTTTGGAAACATTCTCCGGAACAGAAACCAACAAGATTTGGCCCCACGTATATGCTTTCCTGCAAACTAAAGTTCCACAAACAAACCAGAAAGCCTCAGTTACTCCATGAGGAGAAATGTGTATAACTAGTAAGATGAACAAAACCTTCTTGTCCTTGCATTTAGAAGCTTCTTTTCTTAAGACTCTAGCTTGTATGAATATTCTTTTAAAATTATGTTACTTTTATTTCTACTGATTTTATACTGGATATTAAGGAGGTGCCAAATGAGTCAGATACTAAGATTAATTTTTTAAAAAATCATCTAATGTTTTATCTAGTTACCTACTATGGGTGTGCAATTCAAAAATATCAAAGATGTCTAAAGTTTTATAACATCTGTTAGAGCAAAATTAAAAGAACAATTGGTAGTAATATAACCTTTTGTTCAATAAGAATAGATGATAAAATTTCCATATTTTTCTGGAAAAGTTTAAAAAATTACCTGTCATTTGGGGAAAATATCTCTTCAAAAGGTTTTGCATAGATTGATGCCAAAAATGACATTTCTGACATGGTGGAACATGGCTTCATGAGATACTGTATCTATAAAATTCCAGAAAAAAAGCAACTGGATTTACAGATCTATTGCAAGGTACAAATAAGAAGTATATAAGGTAGGCATGCTATATTTTGTTGTTAAACATACCTTCAGTTTACTCAGAATTTCAATTTGCTATAAATATGTATAAATTACCATACATGAAAATATTACTTTACAATGACTTGTTTTCTTTTCAAAATACGTATGTATTGAGGGATATGATTTATGTCAGATATTGACCTTACACATTCTTAGATAAGCACCAAAGTTGAATGAATTTTCAACAGAAAATGTAATTAAAGTCTTGTTTTAGATGTAACTCAGGTTAAGAAATGCGTGTTTCAGGATATACTTGCCAGTTTTTCTCTTTGATCCAAATACGTTCTGCCTTGATAAATCTAAGATACAGTGAAAGAAAAGGAAGGAAGGGAAGAAGAAAAGAAAAAAAATAAAAGAGAAAACCCATGGCACTATGAGCATACTTTAGGAAAGAGAAAGAGATCAGGCATACCTGGGGCGTATTCCCTTGGCATAAATAGCAAACATAATTAGTAAACAGGTGTAGCAATAAAAAGAATGTATATGATAGGGTAACAAGGACCAGGAGAGTAACTGAGTTTCCTGAAGGAGTTCTTTATTCCCAAAGAATTGGTATCTGCTAGCTTTTACTGTCACCCTGTCTTAGGGAGAAAGAACTCTGCTGGCAAGTGTCATGTGAGCAGCCATTTATAACTATAAATCATTTTCAATTCCTTAGTGGGGCAACAAGGACGCATGCTTATGTACTGTGACCTGGAAGAGAAGTGGGGAAATTTGAGAGATAGAAGAGAAACCTATGTCTTCCATAGGGTTCTCTTACTTGGTGCTAAATCAAATGAAACAAGCCCTGTACATGCTGTTATTAACTGCCTTTGAAAATCTGGCCCATTTTATTCCAGGCAGAAACAAATGCCAGCAAGTAGTTATTATGTATCCTAGGAGGGAAAAAACTTATTTTCCTTTTCCTTTGATTTTTCAAAAATTTGTTTATCTTTCAAAATGGACCAAGGCTTTTCTTAAAGGATTATAGTAAATATTTCATTCTTTATATATGTTTATATAATGCCTTATTTGGATGTTAATATGTTTTCTAAAAATATTGTGAACCACTAAACTTACGAATTATCACTAGATTATCAGGCATGCATTAGTCTTTATTAGAATAAAATAAAATTTCTTAACTGAGGCTATCACTTTCTCTTTGGTCCCTCACAGGGCCTACTCCACCCCACCTTCCTTTCTGCTGTCCTGATGTCTCATTGGCTTCTGAATGAGGGACTGTGTTCTAATAAATTGTCTTACAACAGTAAAAAAAAAAAAGAAAAGAAAAGAAAAAAGAAAGAAATCAATGGAGAAACTGAAACTGAAAAAATTGGGTGGAAACAGAGGACACATCTAACTGCATATCTCTAACTACAGCAGAGAGTAGTAGAGATCTGTAAGCACAGTTGCTTTCCTTTTTACATAGCATTAGTAGCTTCTGAGACGAAATGGAGAGAAGAACCAAATGATCCAACTAATCTTTCCATGTGTAATATTTATGATGCATGTGCATGACTTAGGTTTATAGAAAATCCACATGCATTTAATGGTTGTTATTTTGCAATAAATATAAAATGGATAGCATCCAAATAAATGAAAATAAGAAGAATGAGTTGAACTAGGTTTATTAATTTTCCAATGTTGGAACGAAAAAGCCCTTGTAAATATTGTATGTTGATGCCATGTATGATAAAGATAACACAATGTTATGTTTTCAGAGTAGCAATTTTTTCTTTGTAAAGTATAAATCATTTATAGTCTGTCTTATAAAGCTTTTTCCATTCTGGGAATATGGCATTCTGTTGATCTGCATTAAGGCTACACAAGGATAAGACCTTTTACACCAGAAAACTGAGTCCAGAACTGGAAACAGACTTTGCACAATGATAAAGGAAAGCACAACTGTAGCTAAAATGATGCATTCTGGCCTTATTCTATACAATCCCAGCACTGCCTTTTCACATTACTGACTTGACGAGAACCAGATCCCAAAAATCTGCCTGGGTTGAATGGGTCCTGATTGTGACGAGTACTGTTAGTAGAGCAATGAATTGTGGATTGTTCAAAGTACAAAAGCTAACCAAACATATATTCCTCACACGTTGAATATCTGACTAAGCAGTTTTCACTTCACTCTTTTTAACTTTTTATTGATATATAATACGTGTACATATTTATGGGGTCTATGTGATATTTTGATAAATGCATACAATGTGTAATGACCAAATCAGGATATTTAGGATATTCATCACCTTACCATTTCTTTGTGTTGAGAACATTTCAAATCTTCTATTCTAATTATTTAAAATATACAACAAAGTATTGTTAAGTATAGTTACCCTGCTGTGCTATTCAACACTGGAACTTATTCCTTCTAACTGTATGTTTATACTGATTAATCAGACTCTCTTCATTCCCTCCTCAACACACAGACACAGACACACACACCCCCACCCACACACACTCAGCTCTGGTAACCACCATTCCATTCACTACCTCCATGAGATCAATTTTTAAAATTTTTAAATTATTTATTTCATAGTATTATAAGGGTAAATATGCTTTGGTTACAGAAATTGCCTTTGCACCGGCCAACAAGCATGCCCATACCCTAGATCAATTAATATTTTAGCTTGCACATGTAAGTGAGAACACGTGATATTTGCCTTTCTGTGCCTGGCTAATTTCGCTTAACATAATGACCTCCATGGTCATTAATGCCCTGTTGATTGTAGTATGTATTAACCCAAGACAAGACAGTGGGTCTTTTCATTTCTCTATATTACTCAACACTTTAATAAAGAGTTAAGGGAGTGTTCATCAATGGATGAAGAAAATGTGGTATATATAAACAATAGAATCTTATTTAGCCATAAAAAATAATTAAATCATGCCATTTACAGTAACATGGCTAAATAATATTCTATTGTGTATATATATCACATTTTCTTCATCCATTGATGGGCACTCCCTTCACTCTTTATTAAGGTTTTGTGTAATATAGAGAAATCAAAAGACCCACTGTCTTGTCTTGAGTTAATACATACTACTGTCAATAGGGCATTATGAATGACAGAATGTTTAACTATAATTAATTTTGTACATAGATCTTATTTACCCTCCCCATGCCAATTATAGTCTATTCTGTCGGGAGGGTGGGAGGGGGGAGGAGAGGATGGGTGTATACAACCACAATGAATAAGATATGCAACGTTTGGGGGATGGACATGCTTGAAGCTCTTACTCAAGGGGGGCATGGGCAATATAAGTAACCTTAACACTTGTACCCCCATAATACGCTAAAATAAAAATAAATAAATAAATAAATTAAAAAAGAAGAAAAATTAAAAAAAAAATGTCTATGGCAGACCAGGATGGAAAGAGAAACAGAGAGACAGAAAGAGGTGAAGGGAGAGAGTGGCAGAGAGAAAAACAGAGAGTGAGGGAGAGTTGGAGGCTGAGACAGAAAGAGACAGAGGGGGAAAGAGAGGAAAAAGAAAAAGAGAGGGAGGGGATGGGTGGAAAATGGAGAAGGAGCAGAGAGGGAAAAGGGGAGGGAGAAGTGGACTGGGGAAGAGAATTTTGCTTATCACTGGAAATCAATTTAAATGGTAAACATTCTTATTCTCTCGCCCTATAGGAGAGATGTGTGACAGTGCAAAGCAATCGGTGTGTGGGCGTGCTGCTATTATTTCTGCCATAAAATAAGCCCAAAAAGATTTGAAGCCATAAAATTTCAAAATCTTAAAAAGCTCTGAAAATGCAACAGGATTGATTTTTTAAGAACTTGTGATTAAGAAATGAGTTTTGCAAAACAAATTTCTCTCTAGCTTAGAAGATACTGTGCTGTTTTAACTCTACTCACTTCAAGCTAATTGAGTTTGGCATTTTCACTAATTAAAGTCATTTGGAGCTAAAGCTCATTTTCAGAAATTTTAACAAACTGAAAATTCAAAACCTCTATACATTACTGCATTTCTTCTATCTCCTTAAATTTGGCTGTTTTTGATTATGTTCTTGAATAATGCATCTGCATTAATGATACCTCGCTGATTCTCATTGGTCATTAATAATTGTGGAATATATCTAATGCACAGACAGGAAGTAGGAATGGGAGTCAAATTCACTGGGTGCTTTCAAAATTATTTATTCAATGTTCTTTGTTCACCTAGTAGTATTGCCTTCCTGCTTAGATCCTTTCCTTGTATTTATGTATCTATGTGTCTATGTCTCCATTTATGTATGTACGTGTGCATGTATGCATGTATTTAATATCTATATTTTATGCTCCATTCTAGCAAGATGTTATTCTTAGCTGGACATTAGAATGAGCCCACATTCTAATGTATAAGCCACTTTCAAGATGTTTTGTATAGGTTCAACATTTTTTTCTCCTTTCTAAAATTTTTATCTTGATATAAACATTGTTAAGCATTGGCACTCACATATGAGTCATTATTCAATCT